CTAAATTTTATCTAAAGGCATGTTTTTCAAAATTTTGTTATGTTGAGCAAACATAATTTAATTAACATGGATTTACAATATTTAAATGGAAAGTGATGTATATATATATATATATCGTGGTATGTTGATGAAACACTCTCTCTGAAGATCGTAATTTAGCACACTTAAAAATGATTGAAACTACGTCCACACAGACACACAGCCGCGGCAACAGGCCAGTCTAGTGTGTACCTATATAAATTAATATTTATCACTTTTAAGGGACCAACTCAGTGATAAAAAATAAAAATAGTAAAGGGGAATTTCATTTAAACCACTGCTTTATCATGCTTTTATATATTTAACTTCAAATTTGTATTTAGCAATGTAATATTTTTATATCTAAACAAAATAAAAATACGAGCATTAAATACATATATTTCATTTCAAATAAATATTTAAAAAAAACCTTTTTTTTTTTAGGGTACTAAATTTTAGTCAACGAATAAAGCTATGACAGTAGCGCTGAAGGCATTAAATTTTAGTCAACGGATAATGCTATGAAAACGACTCAGCATAGTAGCATTTGGACTTTTGGTTTCATCATTCAAATTACAATCAACTTTTGCGGATAAGCATTATTTTTGTGAGAAAATGTGTATTTCATTTTTTTTAAGTTGAAATAGTGAAATTTTATATGATATAAAAGGTTTGGATGGTCAAAATATAAGAAATAGAGAGTGTTAGATATGTAAATGCATAAGAATTAGGTGGCATGTATGTAGATGACCCAATTTAAAGGAAAAAAAATATTACTTCAGCATATGGGGTGCCACGTAACACCACGGTGGGACCATTACATATGCGGCACCCTACTATTAAAGTACTAATGAATCAATACTCTTGAGATAATATTTTTTTTCAATTTAAAGAAGAGATGAAGGGATTTTAAAGGTGAGGTTGGTGATTTATGGATGTGACGGAGCAAAGGTGAGGGGCATAGGCTTTCCAACATGGCTGATAAGCCTTGAAAGCTCATAAATTGAATTTTTTTTTTTAATTGGATATATTCAAAATAAAAAAAAGAGGGAGGATAAAGTAATTTTCTTAAGAACAAATTTCATATTTATTTACTTTTAACTAAATAACTAAAATGTTCTACCTGTATAGGGTCTGTATTGGAATGAATTTTGTTATTTCATATGTGATAAGTCATCATGTGGTCATTTTCTGGCTCCATCGACTCAAATTGACGTGGCTTGTTTGATTTTGCTCATGTGGCTCAGCTTGATTGACTGAGCTTAGCTCGTTTGGCTCAAAGCTTGGTTGTCTGATCTTGACTTGCTTGGTAAATTATCTTGGTTAATTATATTGGTCGGTAGGGCTCCATCTACTTAGCTAGCTAGGCCAAACGTGATGGGATCAAAGATCGTACTTCTGGCAGGAAGTATGTCTCCCTTGGATATTAGATGTTGTGGAAATAACCATTCCAACGGATTGGCTCTCCTAATAGATAAGTTTTTGCATAGAGTCAGCTTTCTCTCAGTTGAAAATATGGACACTCTCCTTCTGAGCTTCCGAATAAGTTGGCTGGCATCAGTTGACCATCCCCACGCCTATTTTTGACTTGGATAGCTTGACTTCATCGGCTTGATTAATCCTATGATCTCCTTACAAAGGAACTACCTTCACCACAAGCACCTTTTTGATGTAAATAATTTAATTTCATGATAATCTTATTTTCATAAAATGATCTTGTGCTAAGAATAAGAGAATTAAATGCAAACACTATATATCAACAAATTATAATTAAGGACTCAATTATTGAATTACTTTGATTTCAGAGCAATGAATGAAAAGGATTAACAGGCTACCGCTACCCAAGTTGAAAGGTAAAGCCTTGGTCGCCTGAGCAGCTGTCGAGAGAGAGAAAAAGTGAAAGTTGAAAGCCCTCAAGTGTGCGAACTCGCTTTCAAGCTTGATAAGCATAGGTCATGCATTTTTTCGTTTCTTCTTCTAATGCTGTTATTCAAGATAAGGTACTAAGGAATTGATCTCGATCAAGCAGCCGAAGTACAAAAAGAAAATTAAGGGATTGCTACTTTTTGTTAGTTCTTGAGATGTGGATTCGTATGTCCCTGAACTGTCAACTAGTTAGGAAGACTGGCTTTTAAGAAAGGGAGAATTCGATAGACTAGGTCAAAATGGTGACACCCTTTACTTTCTAAAGGACAGATATCGAGTTCCCTCCTTTGCCAACGAGGGAAGCCAATCAATGTCTCCCTTCAGACATGGGATTGTTTATCGCAAAGAAACCGCTACATCATTATGGGAACCGCCTAGCAAAATCATTGACGAAATGCCTCATTAATTTGTGCTGGTCCGAGTCAACTTTGCCTGAGTAAAAGCATCAGCTAAAGGGGAAGAACCAAACGTTCAGCTCAAGTCTCATACGAAGTCGGCCATATGGCAAAGACTGTTGGTTTCTCCGAAATAGGTTGTCCTTGAGTGTAAGGAGTGCCACCGAAGTAGTGGATATAGTCGGCACAAAGCTGGTTCATCTGGTGGTAGGCTTATCCTGGTTCTTTTCTAATTTTCTTTGAAAAAATGCTCATATGAATATTGATAGATCATTATTGAATATGAATAATTAGAAAAATTTTTTGGTCTGCGCTACCTTGCAACTTAAATTTTGTTTTATAATCGATTTGTTCAATTGTTGTGGACCTGTGGTGAGAAGAGTTTACCTAACCGTAATAAACTGATTATGGAGCTGAGTTAGTTGACAAGGCCGAAAGTCCAAATTTTTGGGTTAATGTCATAGAATTTGAATAAGAAGAATATAATTGAAAAGAGCTAATGACTCTTGATATGTTATCATCCTACACAAGTTTTACACCACCCATATTTAAATCACTCGATTAAGTTATCGCCATAGAAAAATCAACATATTAAACAGAACTTCATCCTGACTTGTTGTTAGAATGATTCATGCACATCCCACCTCATATCTTATCTTGAGTTAGTAGCATGGATCTTGAGAGTTAGATGGTTGAGTGGATTTTTGATGGGACAACTAACATTGTTGCAGATAAATTAGTCACTCAAGTAACAACACCATTTGTAAGTTGCCTTGTGCTCTTTGAGCTTTAATTGGACAATATAATCCTGTGTGAACTTTTACCAAGTTCCACGAATATCGATGGGGGTTAATGATGAGACAATAGAAGTAAAAATGAGGATGGGTAATTAATTCTAAGGTATTGCAACTGCCTTCCCTATGAACAACCACTAGTAATTAATGCAGGCTCCCAAGCTCCCAGGCGCACTCTATGTTGATGTTAATCTCCTTATTGTGAGGTTATTCTTCTTATATTGCTTCTTCTCATTAGTGGGGCATGATACGCACTCAACACATTTAAATCCAAATTTATTAATGAATCATACTCATAAGCATAGTAGATGAGGAAGAAATAAGGAAAAATAGATTAACAGAAAAAACAGTGAAGAAGGAGAGCCATAGAGAGAGCCCCTCTTCTATAAAAGTTCTCATATTTATAAAGGATACAATAGCTATATTACATTTTTTGCTCATATTAAATTGGATCCATCCAGGAATGTTTTTGATATTTCACAAAAAACAACTTTCAACTGGTCATTTTATGACCTAATCAACTCAAATTCTAGCTTAATAGGCTAAGCCTGACTTGTTTGGTTGATTTTCTTTATTAGTAGGGCTCCATCTGCTTGGCTCCCTTGATTGTGGCTCAAATATCCTAGACTTGCACTGTGAAATTTTGGGTTTACTGCTTGGTTGACATTTGTCTTCCATCCTCAAGTTACAAAAGGTAGATCTTAGATTACCATTCATTCTCTTTCATACAACCTAATTTTTTTAATGATTTTTTATTTTTTGCTTTTTAAATCGAACACAACACTTGAAAAACATTGGAAATTGAGTTCATGTATCTTGTACTTCGTTCAAACACAAATTCCTCTATATGAACCATTGACCACTCTAAAAGCATTCTTATAAATGTTACTTAAAAATGATTATTGGCATAAACCACACTAACTTTTTCGATATTACAAAAGTCAACAAGATTCTTCCATATGTTAGATGTGGATCATTTTAATTCTTCCTTAAATAATCAACAAATCAATTAAAATACATCAAAGAGAAAGCAAATGTTAGTTGCATCTCAAAAATAACATAATTGTAGATAAGAAATATATCGTCACAAATCTTAAGAAAATAGCAAACTAAAAAGACAAACATACAAAAATGTATATATTACTTCATATATTCATCAAAATGTCACCGAGAATCTTCATCAAAAGCCCCCCAAAGTCAAACGTCATATATTGATAAATGGCTCATTTTGTTGCTCTAAAGTGAATATCTAGTTTTCTTTCCTTACAAGGTCTTAGGATGAATTTCCCTGAGCTTATTTTAACAATTTCTTTAATCACAACAAGAAATGAGTATCTAATTTTATTAAGTTTTTTTTATTGGTTATTTAACTCCTATATCTAAACTCTAATCTTCATTAATAATTAGGATTAGTGGAACCATTTCATTTTAATCCTAAGGCCTAATAGGGAAGAAAGCAAACAAGATATCGAGAGGAGAAACAAAATGAGTCAATTACCATTTTTGCAAACTTTGAAGAGAATGAACATATCCTATAGGCATGCGTGCTAGAAATACAAACTCCAATATATAGGTAGTCTTATTTTAGCAATCATCCAATCAGACTTCCCCAACAACAGGACAAGGATTTAGATGCACCTTACAATCAAGATCGCATCTTGACATAATTTTTAAATTTGCAAAATCTTATTTAAACAGAATACTATGACCAGCATTCTAAAAAATGTAAACATTTTGAAAGGGGCTAAATTTAAGTTCTTCAACTACAATCAATGATTTTTTTCCTCACTGAGCGCATATGAATTTAGTTCATATTGTGCCGAACCAAAGTACAATCAGCAAAACAAAGATCATTTCCATCAATGCCCTTCCACAATGCAATATATTTCATCACAAATCACAATGAAAAGCATCAGAATTTTGAGTAAATGTGCGCAGAAGAAAAAAAAACAAACTCAATGATTCAAAAAAGACATTTAGTAGTTTTGAAAATAGTAGTTAGCAGGACATGTTTTGAAAATAGTAGTTAAGGGTTTATGATGAATTGTTAGCAGGACAAAAGAGTAACAGGAAGCTCAGGTAGATATAGAGCAGCCAGCGTCGCAGTCCTGCTGGTTTCCATCTCCGCCATTCTTACGAGAAACGCAACCATAGTTAGACCGCGCATCAGATACCTCATGGCGAGATAATGTTAATCTAATGATTTAAGATAATACAAAACCAAAGTTTGTCAAGAAGAAAAGATTAAAATCATCACCAAAAACGCTTTAAGTGCAATCTCAGCCGAAAGATGGTGATTATATGTTGTAATAATCATAGAAAATCATTGATTCTAAAAAAATTCATCACAGATTGCACAGCGGATTTGAATCGAAAATCAACAAAAAACCCAATTGTCACAGGAAATAGATCAAGCAGAAAACATTACATAAACAAGCAAGAAAGAGGGATCAGATGGTAGTGCATGTTTTGATTTGTTCATCATGTGATGCAGACACAAACTATGGATTTGAAATCATCACATCCCCGTTTCGATTTCGAAATATGGTAAAAATAAAAATAAAAATAAAAACGGAAAAGTCTGAAAACGAATCAGATAGAAAAGTCGATCAGCACTGTCCGTTCGGAAGAACGAATCATAAGACTGGGGCGACATTACCTTTTCATCACGCTCGTAGATTGAACAGCAGAATTAGGGCATCAAGAGATCAATCGATATAAAAATAATAAAGAGAAATCGCTTAGAGGCTCGAATGTGAAATCGAAAGAAACTAGCAGGATCGAAAGAGATCGGCGCAGAGAGGAGGAATAGAGGAGGCGGCAGCGCGCAGAAGACGATATGGTTTAAGAATGGCTGCAGGACAGGAAAAAAGGTGTATATATAGAACGAGCTAGGGTTTCCGAAGGAAAATTGATGAGAAAAAATTATTAGAATCTGTGTACAATATTGTACATATCACAATTGATGAGAAAAAATTATAAGCGTAGTTATGTTTTAGTTTCCTCAAATATCTTATAATATTCATTGTACGCATTGCATGAAACTTTTTAGCACATAGTTGAAATGTTTTAAAAAATTCATAAAGATGCTCGTGCAAGTCATGGAATAACCAAATAAGCAAGTTGATTTTGAAACAAGAAACAACCAATAGAGACGTCAACAGCATCCGTCAATTAAAGACATGAGACTCCCCTCTGGGATGAGCATCTTTAAGTCTCCCTTCCGGGACAAGCACCTCTAAAAATTTCAACTGGGGAGAGCAACTCCAAGACTCACTTCTGGAGAGATCATCTCTAAAACTCTCCTCCTGGGCAAGCAACTCAAAGACCCTTCCTCTGACAGTTGACTTTTCGTCCGACCAACCATCGAAACCCAGCAACTTTTCCCCGATAGAAGAAACTTCGGAAGCATTCCCAGCATATGACAGTAAAGATATCAAAACAAAACACGAAAAACGCCTAAGAAGTATTATAGGCAAATTAAGTGTTAAAATTTTTTTTGATCATCTATAAAATTTTTTGTTCTTATTGCATTCGTTACTATCAAGAAGCAAAAATAAAAAAAATAGTTGTGAATTTAATATGTATATTCGAAAAAGGTTTGCACATAACTAAAGTCAAAATCTGACGGTCTAGAATAATAATTGAAATGCCTTTTGCTAAATATGTAATGTTTATGTTTTGTACTCCTATCATCTATAAAAATGAGAGCTTTTATGAAGTATGAGAGGATCTTGGCTTCCCCCTCACTTGTAAAAAAACAATTTTATGAAATAAAATGGGTCGGAGAACCTGGGATTCATTGGGCAGGATCTACCGCTAATATTTGGATACATCACATCGAGTTACAAAAGAATGCATTGAATAATAAATGTATTTGAAATTAAATATATTAAGAAAAAATTATATTTGAATACAAATATATTTGGTATAAAATATTACATATATTTGATAGCAAATATATTTAAAAATATTTATATGTTTGAAAAGAAATACAATTAATAAAAAAATTTCAAGACATTATTTTAAACAAAAAAAAAATATTACCATTCTAACTTTTAGAAATTGAAATACATAATTTCATGCATAATTTTTATTTATTTATTTTGCATGCAAGTTAATGCTAGAAATACACAAGAATTGCGCGGAACTCATCAAAGATTCAAAATTCGACATTCACAATTATGTGTCGATGCCATAAATTTATACGTGAAAAATTATATTTAACAGTCATACTTTTATGTTACATAAAATATTTGAGTGTTAAATATCTTAGTATAAAAATTTTATTGCAAATATCAAAATAAAAGATCAAACAAACCAGACAAGCAGATTTCCATTTTAGCTAAACATTACTACATAAACAGCAGACCAATTTGCAAATAACCGGAGAGCCAAATTGCCACATTTCGACTAATTCGTCTCGTAAGTGAGCCGGAGCGGGCAGCAGGCCTACAAACACAATATTAAAATTAAATTACACCAAATTCATTGCCACAAATATTATTTGCACCAATCTAATTTAATTTAGTGGCCGAATAACATTGCTATTTACAAATCAACTACCCTCTTTCATTCATTTTACAAATCACCCCAACCCATATTTTTTTTTTTATTTTATCAAATTGACAATGATTTGATTGTGACGCACGTAAATACATAGATTTTATAGTTTGAAGAATCACCCCGGTGCTTGATTTACGAGTAACAATGTGTTGGGTGACCTATACCTAATTATTTCCTTAATTTATTTTATATATATATATATATATATATTACTTACTCTGAAGCAAGATACACACAAGAAGCATAACCTGCAACAAATAAAAATAAAAATAAAAATAATATCAGAAAATTATAATGTTCAATAAACAAAGAACTCTAGTCCTAATTTATTTATGTATTTCACACCAAAATTCTTATTTTGACGAATATCCAATTTATACTTTCAACAGTGTGAAACAATAAGTGGGTGTTTGTAGTGGTGTAAACGAGCCGAACACGAGCGAGCCATGCTTAGCTCTTGCTTGGCTCGTTTATATTTCGAGCTCAAAAGTGTGTTCGTGTTTGGCTCGTTAAAACGAGTCTAACACTAGCTGTTCACGAACAAAGAGTCTTTTTCACAATCTTAATCCTGTAGTCATAAGACAATAAGCGTTTGAGCAAGATTTAAAAATTATTATTTATATTAAAGCATCATTGGAATCTAATTTAATAAATTTTATTATATTTTCATAATCAATATTTTATGTGATTATAAATCTTTGTAGTCTTGCACTCAATTAGATTTTTTTATAATACTACTTAATATATATATATAAACTTGATGAGTAGTATTTCGAGTCAAAATGAGCTAATTTGTGTTCGGCTCGTTAACTTATCGAATAAAATTAACGAGCTGAACACGAGCTTCTTAACGAGCCATTTTGGCAGCCGTGGGTGTTTGGCCACATGAAAAATTTAGAGAGTAGGATTTAAAAATAATTAATTACTTGGATTTTTTCTGGTAATGACGGCGGCGCCGCCGAAGTTACAGGCTATGTCGGAGTTGCCATTCTGCTGGTAATAGCTGTTGAAGGCGAAGGAGGCGTGAGAAACGAGGCTGTTGGGCTCGAAGCACGGCTCGCCGGGCTGCAGAGCGGAGCAATCCGTGGAGCCCGGCCCGCAGGCCCAATTCAGAGCCCGCTCCAGTTCCCCCGCCGGCACGCTCGCCGATGCCACGCACCACGTCGTCCCGCCGACGAAAGTTGTGTTTCCCTCCGGCGGCGACGGCGTCTTTAACGGCGTTTCCCTCTCTTCCTTCTCCTCCGTTGTCACTACTCGTCCGCCATGAATGCAGACTTGTACATAAATAAATAAAAATCAAAACTTTGGTTGATAACACGAAAAAATGAAGAAAATGAGTGAGCGCTGAAAAAATTGAAGAGATTACGGCCATGAAATGTGAAGATTATGAGGCAGAGGAAAAAGCAAATCTTGCTCTCCATTCCCATAGCGAATCGAAGCTATGTAGTGGTTTTCAGCCTCTGCAGCACGAGCGCAGAAGCAGAAGAAGAAAGAGTTGGGATTGAAGGGTATTGTTCGTAACAGAAATGGGAGCAGGGGATTCAGTTCTAATGGAGTCTACTGTAAGTACTGCAAGATCGATGGTAACCAAAATCTCCTGGAAGAATATTAATTAGAGGACTGCTTTGTGGAAGGATAAAGAAGATTGAAGCTTTGTACATATAAGAAAATTAAAAGCAGGGAATGTTTGGATTGTCGTGTGTAACAAGGGAAGAACCGAAATCAAGTTAAAGCTAAGATTGCCATTAAATTTTGTTTGATTCTTTTTTTTAGTTTGTTTAAAGTATGACTCCATGTGATTGTTTAATTAATCAGTGATTTATTATTTCGGATTTGTAAAATTACCCTCAAATTATTACTGTTATTAAAGTTTATCACTAGCTTAATTTTGTATATTTTCTTCTCATTTTTATACTTAAACACGCGGCTGGGATTGGTGGAATTAAATTCGACCTTGAGCTCGATTTCAATTGATTGATCAAGCTCTGGACAAGAGTCGCTCGAGCTCCATTAGACTCATTTACACCCCCTATATGCAATAAAATATTATAGTCTCAGACGAAAGCTCTTATCTCAATGTTGGTTCGCTTAGGCCATCTCATGAATTATTACTTGCTTCGCTTTGTCGAATTAAATGCTCATCTTTACAAAAATAGATGGATGATGAAATAACGAGCATATTTTTGAAAGAACTTCAGAAATAGTGTACTTTATTTAATCACATATCATCAGTGGAAGAAATTTGAATCATCGGCTAACATTGAAATTGAGTAATTATATTACTAGTTGTCTAAATATAGATTTCTGAGGTCAACATTACAAATTATATTATATATAAGACAGTTGTTGAGAAAATTAGGGCGAAGAAAAACAATAACAACACAAATCTAGAAGAACACAGAGATTTAACGAGGTTCGGCAAAGATGCCTACGTCCTCAGGAGCAGAGCGGCGAGTTCCTTTCAATAATCAGAAAAGGGTTTACAGAAATCAGGGATACCTCATGGGGTTACTAACAGACCTATTTATAACCCCAAGAGTAAACCTTAGGCACAATATGTAATTACAACATTACCCATGTATCATACCGCAGGGCTTTTCCCCCGCACCCCAACCCACGTAATTTCTCAATTTGGACAGATTCTTCTGCTCTACTTCGATCCAACGTCTGTCCCCATTTAGACTACAACAAGATCATCTTAAAACCTGGGCGACTGGCCAGCCCCTTAGGAGAAGAATACCTGGGAGTTACATCTGCACCACTGTGGGTTGGGCAACTATGCTTATCTAGCAACTGCAAACATTTAACAAGTCTAAGCAATGCAAGAACTTGTTGATAGTAATTGGCTTGGTCAACATATCAGCTGCATTCTCATCAGTATGAACCTTCTGCAACAGTATCTCCTCAAAAGCAATCAACTCTCTGATCTTGTGATACCTGAGATCAATGTGCTTGGTTCTCGCATGGTAAACCTGGTTCTTAGCCAGATAAATAGCACTCTGACTGTCACAATGCAACTGAACTCCACCTTGCTCAACGCCCAGTTCCTTTACTAGCCCAGCACATAAATGGATACTTATTTAGGTTCACTTCGGCTCCGTGTGGGGCCGCTTTTTTGCTGCTTCGCGGCCCTAAATCGCGATAATTTGTTGTTTGGCGCGTAGCTTTGCGGCAATTGAAAGCTAACGCGGAGGAGAAGCGGAAAGCCATATCCTCCCCACGGCACAGCTTCGCAGCCTGACTTGTTTTCCCCCTCGCGAAAATGCCCGCGATCTTCTTCCCGCCTCGTCCAACCCTCCCGCACACCCGCACGCGAAAAAGCCCACGGCGCAGCCTCCTCCTCGCAGCCTCTTCCTACCCGCGAATCTAAACACCCGCGATCTTCTTCTTCGCAGCGTCTTCCTCCCCATCTC